AAGCTGCGACGTTATAAGTAAGTAAGGAAAGTGGTCGCTGTCCCCCAAAAGAGGGTTGTGTACCTCCCTGTACAGGAGTAGCAACACTGGAGTCGCCTCCCTCTGCAGAGTCATAAGAAGGAACACACTGCGCGGCTTGGGAAGCCGCAGGAAACAGTGCTTGGTCAGCCCGAGCCTGAGGTGGTATGGGAATACGGAAGAGATGCGTGAGCGATTCGTCCGGGAGAGGCCCCCATTTTATAAAAGAGGTGGCCACTCCTCTTCCCACTGATGTGAATTGTCCCCCACTGACCCTCTTTAAAAGAGGGATCGTGGCCGCTCCTCTTCTGACTGATGTGAATTGTCCCCCCACTGACCCTCTAAAGGAGGGATCACTGGGAGAAAGGGACACACCTGACCACCAGGTCCTCCTGCATCCTACCCCGAGACTGCAGAAGGGAGTAGACTTTTGAAGCCAGACTACACATCCTGACTGACCAAGCCATCTCTTCACCCTGGGAGAGTCGTTTGTCACCTTGACTAGTACCCGTACAGGAAGGCAACTGAGCCTGTCCCTGTGATTGGTAAAGTACCGGTGGATTGAGCCGATTCGGTCTCTAAAAGACGTGTCGATTCAACCGAGGGACTCAGTGCCGATGTCGGCGCCCCAGAGGGAACACACTGTTTATCAACGTCTGTTGCCGTGATGACTGGGAACTCTGATCTCCCTGCAAAAGCAGTTGACCGATGTTCATTAGGCTTGATAATATCCGGTGGGGAAGCCAACTCCACTCTGGGAGAATTTAGATCCACCATCGGTGCTCCCGCGCTATTGACCGCCATTTACGTTACCTCAATTGTAAAGTGTTCTGACGGTCATGTCTCAATTGTCGACCCCCCCACCTCGAGCAGAGTCAGATCGTGACAACTCTCCCAAATTCACGGATGTCGACCGGAGATGAGCCTCTAGGTGACTACCAAAAGTAGGGAAAGATTTCTCACTCATAGAATCAGACATACTAGCGCTAGCGACAGTAAGGGATTTTCCCTTCTTTACGCGACCTCTACCAGCTTTAGATTGCTTGCCTTCAGCCTTCGAAGCCGCTTCACAAATGAGCCACATTTTATGGTCCCATAAATCACAAATCCCCTCAAGGCAGACCCCGGAGTCTGTGACACAATTAAGGCAAGCGTGACAACACATATGAGGATTCCACTCGGGCATTAGCGTGAAGCAGGAAGAGCAAGTCCTACGTTCCGTCTGAGGCGGGACGTTCTTAGTCTTTTTTTCTGACTTTCTGGCATATTAGAGTCTGCAAAAATTATGGAAGTGAGATCAGAAAAAAAAAAAAGAGAAACGAGTAAATTCACCGCGCAATTTTCAGAATCCGGTGAAAGTAAACTGAACTAACTAAAAAATATGTAAAAATGGGGCCCCTAATAATGGAAAGCCTTTACTGCAATGAGTCGATCACCACACTAGAAAACTGTAACCTGTCTTTCAACGTGCTTGTAAAAAGCGGAGCGGAAAAATATAGCTGCTGTTGTAAGTGGAAACGAAAGAGAATGTCGGATCACGCCTCTTATGCGTGACCACCCTGTGCGCGCAGGATGGCCCCTTTAGGAGGTTTTTTTTTTCTATAGGGAATGCTACCCTTAGGTGTTCTTTGTAAACAGGGTATATTCCCTACCAAATAGTTTCCAATTG